ATTTTTCTTATGTATAGTAATGTTAAAATCATAAATAATATTCAACGTTAAACTGGTACACAATTTAAAACATTTTATTTAGGCCTATTTATGGCCTTCAAAAAGTTGACGACTCTACGTTACAAAGTCGAAACATGTAGAGTTGTCAACTTTTTGAAGGCCTAAATAAAATGTTTTTAATTGCATACCAGTTTAACATTGAATATTATTTATGCTTTTAACTTTATACACAAGTGCCAGAGTACTATAAATATAGTAGTGTTGTTTTTAATATTTAATTCTAGTTTTCTGTTAATTTCCTGGTTAAGTACAAATATGAAAATAGATAGTGTCAGAAAATTTCAGTCATACGATTACTTAATATATTTTATACTAATAAAGTTTGAAAATAAACTTACTACAAAACAGTTGCCAAGCTATATCTATAGCGTTGCCTTTCGTCATCGTCAGGCTTAAGAGCACAACAAGAGCTGCAAACAAAACTTTCATGTTGAAAATGTTGTTGTTTGTCATTAAGATTTCGGCTTAGAAACCCATTTTTATATCATTCATCCAATAAATGAAACTAATTTCTTGTTATCCTAAATTTATTATTTAGTAGTTTATTCACCAATCATTGCACGCCTCTTTTCTGATTGGACAAACCAAATTTGCTAGATAACCAATAATGGAGTGATCATACTAAAAACGGAAGCCTTCATATAATAAGATCACGTGACTCGCATCTGTTCGTTTACAGTTTATACACTTCACTCTGTTACATCACGTTATACATATTACAGGTAGGAAGAACTTTTCTGATATATACATACACCATAAGAAAATATAATACAGGTTAATATTGTGTATAAGTCAACATTATTAAAACGTTCACACATTAGTTGGTAGCTTAAAATGGTAAACAACACTGAATTATATGGACTACGTGTAACTGCATTTTAGTTTTAATATTTCTTTGTATAGCATCCTACTTTCATCTTTCATATATTTCTGTGAAGACACTAACATGTCTGACATAAATTACTAATATGATATAGTAATACTAAATGGTACACACACACATATATTTATATTTAACATTACCCATTCAACTCCAAAATGTCTCAGAAATAACTGTGTTCTTCATGAGTTCAGCTACGTGTTACTCAGTGGTTAGCATGCCAAGCTGCAGATCAAACGATCCAAGGCTAGAACAGTGATGCCGTTGAATAAGTTCCACATTTTAGCTGCGGGAGGATTATAAAAGTGACAGTCAATTCCCCTAATTCAGTTCAAACAGCAGTACAAAGCCCAGTGCTGCTGACTGGCCCTCTGGTTAGTAGTTAGTTTAATACGAGTGTTATGTATTCCTTAAAACCTTGCTGTTTAGCCGATGCATCGCATAGGGTGTCTTTCAGATTTAAAATTACAAATGTTTTGTTAATTTATGTTCTATCATGAACAAATAAAATCAAATGAAAACAGCTTTGAATCATGTGAATATTATTTATTATTGATAGAAAAGGATATAGTTGTTAACAAGGTTTCTTTTATCAGTTTCAATTTCAGCTTTTATTCCTGTTTTGGTCGATGTTCCCGGAGTTCATAGAACTACAAGATGGCGCTTAGTTTTATCTACATAACAGGCCGTACTGTATGGTTGTTTGTTTTAGCGCAAAGCAACACATCAGACTAGCTGCGCTCTGTACACCATGGGGAATCGAATCCCGTATTTTAGCGTTGTAAATCTGTAAAAGTATCGCTGGTACACTGATGGACCGTTTATAAATAAGCAAACAAGTAATCAACAGTGGATAATCCTAAAACTCCCCTTGTTGTGGAAACACTTATTTTGTTTGAGAGAGATTTAAAGATAATCATCAGGTTGTCTTAAGGTAGTATTGATTAACTCTTTATTAAATGTGTTTTATTAGATACAACCGAGTGACTGGACAATCATTTAGATTGCGTGTTTTGGATAGCAGTTCTGATTTAGGATGTTTTGTATGAAGGAAATTGCTTTACTCAAAGGCTGTTAGAAACACTTCTGTGACAAGAATGCCAAGGATCAACGTTTCAAGGTCGGACAGAAGGTCTTAGTTCTGCTACCCACAAATTCGCCCTGTAGTAAAAAGGACCTTTTGAAGTGGTCAACAGAATGGACAATAAGTTGGAAGTGGACGGGAAGATCAAGATCTAACACTCCAATTCAGGGTTTGCAACAGTACAAGCGGTACCAGGTTGCCGGTACTGGTACTGACCAGGTACCGCTTGTAACAATATCGGTACTCGAACATCTCTAATCACATGACTTGAGCAGTTAGGAATTCAACCGTTCTTCCCAGTGTTGTTCTCGTGGGATTTTTTTCACATCCAACGAAATTGTCAATTATCTGTAAGCCCACGTGGTATGACAACTATAGCAATGAATCAGTTGAAATCTAGGCTTTCTACTAGTTATAGATTTAATGGGAGTTGGCCTTAGAAAAATGTATTAGAAAACTGTAAATTGTAGCATCTCAGAGGTAGGTGTGGAAAGTAGTTTCTGAATTTTCATTGATTGCTCTTTAGCCTATAAGATTGAAGAATATAAAAATATAGGTTCAAAATATCGATGGCGAAATTATAGAGAATATTTTACGTTACATTTCATAGTTTTTCTAGTGGGTGGACAAACGTCGACCATTTTCTACAGGTCACATGGAGATAAAGGCATCAGCTGAAAGCTGATGTTAGGGGGCTACCGATTGTAGAAACGATAAGACCCCTTGGGGCTGTCCTGTACAGACAGCTGCAAAACTCAGCATCTACTCCTCCTGTTGCCCCACGCTAAAGAATCCCTGATATTAACAAAGACTATTTCAAATTATTTCTTTTTATCTGGGTTTACCTGCAAAGAAGTGGTGTATTCATTATCTACTCTTGAGTGTAACGTTTCCTGGAACTGGAAGGAACTCTCGCTATTAAGGAGAAGTGTTAATAAAGAAGTCGAGAGTTTTCCTGAACGTCTATTCCGATAACGTTGTTTCCATGGCAATAAGTCATGCAATAGAGAAACTGAGTTGGCTCTCTAGTTTTTAGGATAGTTGTGTGATTTCCAGTGTGAACGATTATCAGATCAACAGTTTAAACTACTTTACAACCCTTACTTTTATAACCACAGAACGAAATTACGTTATATCTTTTCGGATATTTCGTGAAAATTGAGTGTTTATTTGCGAGTTGCACAATGGGCTAATTAGGCTCGAACCTCGGATCTTATTCTTGCAACTACATGAAATAACCGATCATCAGTTAGGGTCTATTTCCCGAGAACCATGTGATCACAGTCACAGGTGATACATCACGAAGAACTCTAAGTTTTAATATTAAACTAGAGCTACCTGTAGATTATACACTCGGCGAAACGACTGGAAACATCTGTTTGCACAAATGTTTGATTGTAGATGTGAAGAAGTAAAGGAGAAAAAACAGTGTGAAAAACGAACATTTACAAAAGTAAAAAGAATTAGAAAAAATGATAGAAGGAACATTAGATAACAATGTTCATATTTTTTTGTGACTGACTAGATCATTCACTAAGACGGATAACAAAATATTTGCTTTTCATTCTCTCGAATATTTCTCATGTGTTGAATTGTTGACTTCAAAGTCTGTTGATAGTGTTGTATATGTACGCCGATGGGTTGATAACAAAGATAGTAAACGGTTCAGACTAAACTAGTGGCCGAAAAGGTCCGTCATTGCATCTTTTATCACACTCGACTTAAATCTCTTGCAAAGTAAATCTAATATGTTTGTTTGTTATGGATTTCGCGCAAAGCTACACGAGGGCTTATCTGTGCCAGCCGTCCCTAATCTAACAGTGTAAGACTAGAGGTAAGGCAGCTAGTCATCACCACCCACCGCTAACTCTGGGGCTGCTCTTTTACCAACGAATAGTGGGATTGACCGTCACATTATAACGCCCCTACG